GTCCAAATGACTTCAAATTTTTTTGTAAATTGATGTTAGCTTTGTAAAGGTTAAGTTTTTTTAAACTAGACCATCAGATACTATAACAATAATAATATATCTAGTGTAATTCTACAAGTGAAGTTTAGGGAGGATAGAGTGTACGAAGCTTTGGACATAAGATCAAAATGTGATATTTACTTGATTAAACAATACTCTATTTATCCCAATTTAGGTGTCTTACATTTTTTTTGGTCTGTTCATGAGTGTAATTCCTTCTAGATTTAGCAAAATTTTCAATTCCAACATTCTACATCGCAAATCTAAGATCTCAACAATTTAATCAATACACACATTTTTTAATTAATCCCACAGAATTTAAGATCAAAAAGAGATATTTACTTGATTAAACAATACTCTATTAATACCAATTTAGGTGTGGTATTATGATCTTACGATCTTTTGTTATCCCAGTTTCATGAGTGGTTTTGAGAATAAGCTCAATTCTAATAGAAGACAACCTACTTCCACACTTACATAAGTGACATTTTTTAAGAGTTCTCTTGTAAGTTTAACACTCTACCCATACGGGATACAAATTTTCATTAAGAGTTTTTATAAACTCAACCTCCACAATTCACTACAGGAAACAATGCACTCACATCATAGAAAGGGAAATAAAATAATGCATTTCACAATAAGTCATCACATGATTCATTTTTTCCATTGAATCTGATTATAGGATCTCTAGTCCCCGGGTTGGGTTCCTCATATATGACTCGTGGATTTACAGGCTTCAATCCCATCCCTTATATGTGCTTCAGACCTTTTCTCTTGTTAAAGCCTTAATAAAAGAATATGCAAGATTATCATTAGAATTGACATAATCAACATTAATGGTACTACTTGTCAAATATGATCTCACACTACTGTGTTTCCTTCTTATAGGTCCGAATTTACTAATATAATAATTGTTTTGAACTCTACCAATTGCTGTGATGTTGTTACAATGAATTAAAATAGGAGGAATTAATTTTCCAAAATAAAGTATTTGAAATAACAAATCCCTCAACCAATTTGCTTCCTTATTAGCCAAAGCTAAATCAATATTAGAGCCTCCATGGTAGAGTTAGCAATTATAGTTCACTTTTTTTTATTTCCCACAAATAGCACCACCACCCAAAGTAAAACTATAACCCGTGGTAGAACATGAATCCCCTGATAAAGTGTTCCAATCTGCATAAAAAAAATCTTCAAGTACAACATGATAGTTTTTATTGAACAAATGACAAGTTTTTATCCCGATTAAATATATCATTACTCTTGTTATAACATGCCAATGTTCATTACTTGGCTTTCTTGTGAACCTGCTAAGTACTCCTACTGCATATGCAATATCAAGCCTAGTACAATTAGTAACATACCTCAAACTTCCAATTAAGCTAGCATATTTCTTTTGATTTATCACATCATTGTCACTTTGAACAGGATATCATTTTGTTGATGAGAAGTTCCAACATCTTCATCAGCAAGATTCACAAACGACATGCTAATAACTCACTACAAGAATAATGTAACGGGAGGTAGTTAAAACTTAAGTTTTATCATAATATCTTTTGTTGTTTTGCTTGTGATAGAATTTGCACAACATCTTTTGGTTGACGAAAAGGTCCCATCATCTTCCTTGGCAAGCTACACACATAATTGATTCACATAATAAAAGTTGAGGGTGACATGGAATGCAAAGTGTATGCAAGTTACTTAATTATAGAGAAAAAGATGGAGAAAAATATACTTACTTCATGAACACTTTTAGGTCCATAAGATACACCAATCCCAGCATTGTCATCAACATTATATGTAGTTGCTCCAGGCTTAGCAACTTTCATCTTTACCTGGAGTTCCCCAATTTTTGTAAAATAACATAATATATTTATGTTAAGTAGGTGTTTTAATGATTCTACCACCTCTATTTTTTCCATTCTCATTCAATAATAACATAAGTCATTCACAAAGAAAAATCAGAAACTAATATAAGCATGTAAGATGCATAGTTTCAAATTAATTACCATTAATTTCTTTTTTCTGTTCTTTGTCAAGTATTGTCTTCTCAACAGAGTCATAATCCTTTCCCTTTTTCCCGTCATTGTCTACATCAAATTTTTTATTCTGTTTCATCTACTTATGGTCCTTTTCTTTCTTTTTCATTCCAGTTTCATGCCAAAGATATTGTAGAATTATACAAAAACTAAGTCTACCGAATTATATATCTAAATTTATAAATTTAGATACATAATTAAGTGAACTTATTCTTTGTATAATTCTCCAGTGTCTTTCGCATGAAACTGAGATAAGAAAAGAAAAGGAGGAACATAAGAAGATGAAGTAGAACAAAAAATCTGATGTAGACGATAAAGGAAAAAAGAAAAATGACCAACATGGCTCTATTGAGAAGACAATACTTGACAAATAACATAAAAAAGACATCAATGGTAATTAATTAGTAATTATACATCTTACAAGCTTATATTAGTCTCTGATTTTTCTTTGTGGATGACGTATGTTATACTTAATGAGGAGGGAAAAGTTAGTGGTGGTAAAGGCATACCATAAAACACCTACTTAACATAAATATATTATGTTATTATACAAAAAATTGTGAACTCCAGGTAAAGATGGATGCTGTTATACCTAGAGCAACTAAATTTAACGTTGATGATAATGCTGGGATTGGTGTATCTTCTAGATCTAAAAGTGTTCATGAAGTAAGTGCATTTTTCTCCATCTTTTACTCTATATTTAAGAACATGCATACACTTTGCATAGTACGCCACCCTCACCTTTTATTATCAGAATCAATTATGTGTATGCAGCCAGTGGCGGAGCCACCTTACAATGAGGGGGGTCATCCGACCCCCCTTCGGCGGAAAATTATATGATTTATACATGGTTAAAATAATTTTTTAGGTATATATAGTAGATGTCGACCCCCCTTCGGCTACTTCGTGTGTCTATATATTTAGATTTTGAACCTCCTTATTGAAAATCCTGGCTCCGCCACTGTATGCAGCCTGCCAAGGAAAATGACGGAACCTCTTGTAAACCAAATGATGCTGTGCAAATCCCATCACAAGAAAAAAAACAAAATGTATTTTAATAAAACTTAAGTTTTAACTACATCCCGTTATGTTATGCTTGTAGTGAGTTCTAAGTATGTTGTTTGTGCATCTTGCCGATGAATATGTTGGGACTTCTCATTGACAAAATGATATCCCACAAGCAAAATGGAAGAAGATACATTACTTATCCCTATTACGAGAATTGTCCCCCATTGAGCTTAGCTCTTCACCTAACGGTGAAATGATTTTCACATAGGATTGCATAATTGAACAATCATTGCTAGTGCTTACATGGTATACGATCTTAATAAAGTAAATAGAAACCTAGGTGAAAACAAATCTTAATAAGTAACCTCTGGAGCAACTATAATATGTTTTTAAATAGACAACTACTTTCTTGCTAACACTAAGAACAAATTACTCATACGTTTAGACTAGTATGTTGGTGTTTCTGATAAAAAAATATTTTTTTATGCAGATGGAGTGATAATATTTCTCCCGCCTCAGCTTCACAGATGGAAGGAGGTAGAGAGTTGGTGACAAGATGTTACCAAATACAGTTTCATTTAATTTCTTCAGCTTTGAGAACTTTGTTGTTAGTCTCTTATCTACTTTGTGACAATTTTTTACGAGATCATATATGCTTATAGGTGTTATCTCTTCATAGTTTGGTGTTACATATATTGCATACCTTTTAGATTATAAGTGTTTCATAGAAGTACTCCTAATAAGAAAATATTCAAGAGTTAGATTCCCCCAACCTCAGCCATTTCACTCTAGAATTTTGTGCCAGTATACTCTCCTCAATATTTACTTATTTTTTCAGTGCTTCTTTGCATTATTTTTCATTTTCAAATAACTCGGGCAAATGGTTAGGCCTTCTCATATGTTCTTTATCTCCATAAGTTGTTTCCTCACTTGCTTCATATTTTCTCCCTCATTTGAATACCCTTTAGACTGCATGATCTTCATGGAATCCTTGACATATTTCAACTTAGACCCTACTCTGATCACAGGTTGACCTTGCATTTCTATATCCCAAGCAACACTAACTATCTAGAAAAATTGTTTATGTTTAGCAAGGTGGTTCTGAATTCTATAAGGTTTGGCTCCATGTATTGATGGTGTAAGGTTGATGTACAAATGAGTATGGTCAGATATAACGGGGTCCATGATAACAACCTCAAGGTGAGGCCACTTAGTCATCTATGAACATGACTATTTTTCCATGTAAAGAATCTTCCCACAATTCTGTTCTGTCAAACTAGTGTCCATGAGAAGATTTGAGAAATCCCGAGTTTCTCTGTCATGTGTATGAGCCCCTCTTATTCTATCTTTTAGATTTAGCACAACACTCAAGTCCCCCATTATCATCCAGGAGTTTGACCAGCTAGAATCAAATATTTTTAGATCATCTTAGAGATTCCTCCTGTGCTCTATATTATGTAGTCCATAAATGACATTGATGTCAAAAGTAGCATCCAACTCAAGTACATTTATTGAGCAATGTATGAATTGAGAATAAGTCCCCAACACAGCTACATCAACCTCAAGAGCATTCCAAAATATCAGTATTTCCCCCCTACTAGCATGGTCATAGTTGTGGCGCCACCTCCGGCGGGTAACACTTCCCTTAGAATGTGTTCAATGGTAGCTAAAATGGATTTCTTTTCCTAATCATCATCTTAATGAAATTTTTTTCTTACTGCTTATTCAATCCCTTTTTACTTCAAGTGGCTATCTTTATCTATCGAATTTTTAGGGGTCGATCTCCTTAATCAGTGTTCCCCAGCTCCTTTGGCCTTTGCCTTTAACTTTTCAGGATGGTAGTTTGTAGGTATTGTCATCAAGTGGGTTATAACCATTGTTAGTCTCCACTACAGATACCTCCACTCCTCTTTTTTTTACTGTTGACTTGCTTTTTACTTGCTTCCACCCTTCAGGTGAGATCTATTAACTTTGAGTCTTTATCCCCAAAATCTCAATTTTATCCAGCTGTGTTGGCACATCATTGTTTTTCTTAGCCTAAGCTATCTTTTGCCAAACTTGCTTGGCCATATGAGTTTTAGCTTGTACATTTCCTCTGTTTGGTCCCTTTGCATAGTGTCTCTGCACTTGCTGCTTTGTAGTTCCTCCTACCTGTTTTTGAGTTTTGAATTGGCACTGGTGCCTTATCCGGAGGCACTAATAGCAGAACAGATGCCTTCATTTATAGGTGATTGCCTCTATTTATAGCTGATTGCCTGGTCAAACATCTTGCCATCTAGTCCTGTTATGTTAATCTTCTCAGGGAGGGCTTGGGTTACATTCATCTCGATTAGGGCCCAGACATATGATATCCTCTTAAATTTTGAAGTGCAGTTATCTGTAAAAAGAGGGTTTCCCAATCTATTGTTGATCCTCCTAAGTTTTTCCACTACCATGAAATTGAGGGGGATATCAGGTTACTTTACCCACAATGGGATAGTCTTCATCATATCTTCCAAGGCTTCACAATGATGGGTTTGATATTGATTAGGTGTGGACCTAATAGCAATACCTCATCTATATTTCTAACATTATGAAATTTCAGCTTGAAGTACCCATCATTGTGGAAGAACATCTCTGATTTTGTGGTAACACAATGTTCAATATCAAGGATAAAGTATTGGGACTTTTTAATGATGTATAAGTTTGATACAAGATATATAAACTAGTGTATTTATAGGACTACACATTTATTATT